TTGTAAATTAGTCTAATACTCGCTAGTGACTAGCTGAAGGAGGATGAAGTTGTCTGGTGTATTTTCAAGTGAGAAGTTGTGACCAGTGGGTTTGTAATGCGGACAAATACTCGCCGCCGATTACGTTGGCTGGTGCCACTGGTGAGCTCTAATCACGAATCAGTAGAAGGTAGAATTCATGGACTGGTTACTGAGTCCGGTCACAATGGCTGAATGGTTGGCAACGAGCCTGACTTGCAAGCGGAAGGGGCACTGGGATCGACCTCTGGTAGTGGGTGCGTACTGCTCATGAGTCAGTCTGATATTAGGAGTATGAAACAGGTGTATAATACTACCTGACACTTCTTTTTAGTGGTTCTGCAACTGATATAAATTGGTAGTCAAAGTAGATAGAAATTAAATCCCCCCCCCTGAAAAATGAAAAGTTCTAACTCACGCATGTTATCATTCCAAAAGCGATTGACTATCTGATATGATCTTTTCATCAATCATATTCAGGTGATTCAAACGCTCTTTTTTCTACAACAAAAAGTTTTTCTGAACACGTGAATAGGTGTTTTTCCGGTTTTCATACTTTAATGATCTAAAAAGTCCACTAAAACTGACTAGTCATTCATTGGTTGACAGACTGATTAACTAATTGACTAGATCGATAATCTATCAGACTGACTAATAACGTGAATAGCTTAAAAATAGTAACTTGTGAATAACTTACATAACTTATAATGATTTATCTTATAAATCAAAACTAACAATATTCAGATGGCGCACAAACACGAACACAGAAGAGGTGATATGCTTGATACTACCATATAAATGTCAATCAGGGAGGCAAGGTTCATATCCATGATGCCATATACTACTGACTGGTTTATGGATATGAGTATTACTTGCTAGGCATCAATCAATATCAGCGGAAATACATTTAAAAGAGATCTTTCCCTCCTCTTGTCTAGGAAGCATCGTTTCAACGACAGCCGAGGGCATGAATAAGGATGTCAGGAGCAGAATAGGAAAGGCGAGACAGATTTCCACTACTCTAGAATCAGTTTGGAAATCTTCTTGGTCAGAAAATTGGTGCGTCATGAAAAAAATTTCTAACCGGCTACCTGGGACTTTCAGCAACAGCTGCCTTCGTTGGCTTTAATAAGAAAATCAGATGGCTAATCGGAAAGAATCAGCAAAAAAAAAACTCTGGGAATAAACAGATCGGGAACCTATTGCTAAAAGAAAATGCCACAGGAAATGGAGACGGATGGACAGGACACGTTGAGAATACAGTTGAATGACATTGGGTGCCAGCCAGTTCATCACTAATGTGGAAGCCTGAATGTGATAGGACGAGCTGAGCGTGTGTCTAATGGTGACAAAAAGGAGATGAAAGCTTATGAGCAGTTATTGAGCCACCTGAAGAGGACTGCAGAGAACAGGACAAAATAGATATGTGCCCCGGTTAAAACCCTATTTTCTACTCGAAATTCATAGAAATAATAATAATAGTTCTGTAAAGCTGTTTCATCCTAGCTTGATGCTCTTTGGCAGTGAGCAGCCGTCTTTCCACTGGGGATAGTACCCATGTCCTCCTAGCTATGCTGCTAGTTCCATGACCAATCAGTCACGTCGGCTGGAACTCAATAAACCATGACTTCTGAACAATGTCTCCGTCATATCACCCTCGGACACAGATTCAGCCCACTTTTCCGTACTCCGGTCCCACTCAAGTGTTTGTCTAGCACGCAATTTCATTCAGTGGTCCCATGTCCGTCCCGTCTATCTTCATTTTCTTCTGCATATTTGTTCTTTGACATATAGATTCTTGGTTGGTTCTTTGTCCGACTTCCATTGTTGAATTAACCTATCTAGTTACCATTCAAATCTTTGGTACGGTGCACTAACCTGCTGGAAATGTTTTCCATGAGTGGAGCATGCACAAAGTCTGTGAACCCCATTATTAACACTCACAGACTTGATACTAGCGTCAAACATCCAGCCAGGTCTTGTCCTTTGGTTTGAGTAGTGTGAGGGTCTTCGAACCGATTCCGGTGTAACAAAGACTCATATCCCTTGATATTCGCGTCTGCCCGATGTGGCATCTGTTACTCTGATGCTCTGAAAGCAGAAGAATTCGAATTTTTGAATGAAATCTTCGTGCAGAACTGACATCCATTGACCAAGATTTCTTGACAAATACATAAAGCCCAAAATTCAAAGATGAGAGACATCATCTATGCCAAGAAAGGAGCTTTAAATGAACCTTGGTTTCAAAAGTGACTCACTCAGTGATGTCCTCTTTAAGAAGAAAATTTCGGCCCCTTTAGAATGAAAGCAGTACACCGTATATAAAGGGAAGTCCTCCACTTCATTGCCTACTGAAGCTGGTGTCCCTCAAGGTGCATATTCCGCTTGACATTTTACATTAAGAAGTTAAGACACTCGGGTATAACTCAACCCCTCATCCTACAGTTCGTAAACTCTTGCATCCTACCTATTCTTCTTTATTGTTCACCCTTATTCTTTCCTGGTTTGCTTAAAAAAGACTATGTCACAATTCGTAGAATACTAAAGACTGTCAGTAGGGTGAGTGGTGTCCCAGTGGACCACATAGTTAACGTCGTTGTCGATAGGCATTTGACTTCGTGCAATAAATTTGCTAAAGAAATTTTGTCTGACTTGGAGCATCCGCTTTACCCTCAGCTTTCACCTTGCATCTCCTCAGGTAGAACAAGGAGTAACTTCAGAAAACTGTATGCTCGCACGTCTAAGTATAAGAAGTCTATGATACCATACTTGGCATGTATTTTATGTGATGAAAATAGTGTCAGGCAAGAATTAACTAACCTTCTTTCATCTAGTAAATAAACAATTTCCTCCATCCATCCTTACATACCTTCAAGTTTTACTTTTATTACTTCTATTATATTTATGGTCCTGTTAATTCTCTGTTTTACTCTCATAATTGCAAACACCAATTTATCTCCATGACGGCAGTAATCTTTGTTTTTCCCCTCATCATATCATGTAAAGAGAACATTAAACTCAATATTTTTAAACATGTTAGGATTTCTATACCACATTGCCAATACTGTGTGACACAAGCCAACGGCAATTTACACTTGTATTCTTATTATTATTACCCAAGCTGTTATCATTATTATTGCTATTTCCATTTTATATGCTACATGTTTTTGACACTACCTCTATTGTAAATGTGGAAAATTTTCTGTGATTAATTTTATTTATAATTTGAGGAAATTAGATGCAATATTGTGATTAATGCTGAAAATTCCATTCTGTATCACAAGTACTGTTTTTGGAATAAAGTAAATCATTATTATTATTATTATTATTATTATTATTATTATTATTAAAAGTTTTTAACAGCACTGGCAAAATTATTGTTCTGCAGTCACCCACTGATCTGCGAAAGCCCACAGGTCAAGATCCTATATCTTACAATCTAAGCATCTGTGTGTATTTCAGTTTATCTGTTCTTGTGGAGGTGGTTGTATTGGTTGTTCGATGTGTATCTTGTCTAAAAGAAGGACTGATGAACACTATCTCAACGCATTGCTGCATAAAGGTAGCAATGACAGCTCTATAAGAAGTGAAATAATTAAACACCTTCTACTGACTCTAGTCAGTCTGTCTTAACGAATTCCTCCTTCAAAGTGATCAACAAAGTAAAAATTAATCTTCCTAAGATGATTCCCTTTCGCCTTCTTTGCACTGCTGAAGCTCCAGCTATCTAGAAGTAGAGAGCTGAGTAGTGCATACAAAAAGAAATCATTCATCCACTTGTATTATCATGGTAAGGATCCTATTATTTTCAACCTAACTGGTTTAGTTACTCTGACCCTTTCTGTCTCATCTTTCCTGCCGAACTATTAGATAACATAAAAAATTTCCGTTGTCTCAGTGTGTACTCCGATCACATCTCACTTACTAAATTATTTTTCTTATTGAGTAATCTGTTATGTACTCGTCGCTGAATTATTGTTATGGACTGGTCGAGAAACTAATAGTCCTGACGCGAGAAGGCGGAAATCAGAAGACCACTAGGTTTGCGATGATACTTCTATTGTCCAAACACAAGGAGACGAAAATAAATGGTCTCACACCAAAGTGGTAAGTAAGTAAAGTAGTTGTAAAGTAAAGTAGTTCACACAAATTGTGAATGCGAATATATATAAAATAATTCAGACAAGCGTGGGAAAAATCATTAGACAGTCTTAACATGAATGGCTAATTATAATGGAGTGTCGATCCAATTATACATAGCGAATATAGCAGACATGCCAACAAACATATATGGATATATGTCACCAAGCAACGGACTGTCAACAAACACTCATATTATATATAATATAATATAAGGAGAATACACATTATTAAAGGAGACAAGTCCATACAAGTGAAGTGGTCACAGACTAACCGAGCAAACAGAAAGAGAGACCCACATGCACACACACACATAAATATATATATGTGGATACATATCACAATCTTATCACCTTTATTCAACTTCTCGTATGTACTGGTTAACAATATTAGCAACACTATTGTCATGATGAATCATCTCTTTCTTATTATCCACTTTTATGATGAGGAAAACAAACTGCATGCAGAAAATGCGATTGATATTACAGCTAAAAAGGAAAGAATGAACTCACCTAGAAAAGAGACTCTTCACTGAACACTGTTTGTTTTGTTTTATTGGTGACCATTTGACTTGATTTTTTCAACGCCATCCTGGCTGGTTTTGACATCCTCATGTGTACTGTCACCTGTAGTTAAAACGATGATGCTCAGTCAGGCCGGGTAAGTGGAATTACTGACCTCTTTTGGACTCTTTCGGTTAGTGATGTCAGTTAGGCATCTTTGTTTCCTAGTTTGCTTTGAAATCAAAATGTTGCACTAAATTGCAAATATTCCTTATGCCGTCGAATCATTCCCAATGCTTCCTCCCTCCACTATACATTCCATTCTTCTTTTTTTTACAGGCTGTACATTTTATGGATTGGATATTTCTATGAATTGTACATCAAACCGGATTCACTATTCCAAATATTCTGGTTATTCCTTCCCATGGATGACAACGATACAGAGACATTAAAATATCGCAGAAATGTGATTTGGTCAAAGAAAATTCCAGCGAAATTTAGATTTCAGTGTCCAGTAAGTGAGTTAGTTAGTTGGGTGGTTAGCACTATGCCATTGCATTTTACACTGGATTTACCCGTTAACTGATGAACTGAACCGATAGCTCCAGATTCTGCCGACATATCAGTCTGTCTTTAGTACTTTAGACGCTTCGACAGGAGACTAGAATTCTGGAATCCCCCAGGAGGCACACTTTTCCTCCTATATGGGACTTGTCAGTCAGTCGGATGTGTCTGCATTCCCAGAAAGATCGATGACTGGAGGCAATAAGCAGGAAGCACCGCTTGTCTGTTTTCAGTCGTGTCACAACAAGGCATATCTCCAATCTCAAAGAAACTCACACCACTTCTGAGAACCGAACCAACACCAGGGACTGGACTTACAACATGTGCTACTAACAAACAGCGTAGCGTTAATTTGTCTCAGACTGCCGTGGTAGCATTAAGGGGAAGGTTCGTAACTTAGAAGCCACTTGAGTTCCTCCGTGATTGCAGATACGCCTTGTATATTGAGACGGACAGTCTATCTTTTTTAGTTGCGAAATCATGATTTATGCATGCTACACTGACAACATAATAATAGCTGATCGGACAGTTCTTGATTGGTTTATTTTCGGCTTGAATTTCTGAGAATTTGCGATATCATACAATCAATCAAATTTTGTTGATTTATTTTTTATGGCTTGAATTCCCAAGGATTTGTAAACTATGTTTACCCTTAATGTCAGTTAAATGGTATCTGTGTTGTAGAATAGGTCAAACTGATTATAGCTATATTTCAGTAGCTTATACTAAATGATAAATTTTTTGTTTTTGGTAATATTTCGAGCAGAATTACTGCTCATGATTCCACAAACTTTCATGTTATCAATGAAATGTTGCTGAAGATATGTAGGTGATACGTTATTAATAATGAAAAAGAATGATATCGAGGATTTTTTTCTCACACATAAACAGTCCTGCAGACTCCAACAAATTCACTGTGGAGGCAGAGAATGAAATTGGAGAACTAACTATGTTAGAATTCGATGTACAAAGACTAACAGAAGGTAGCATTAAAACGATGCTATACAGAAAAACTACACACTCTGGAGGATTCCTTAATAATCACTTAGTTTATCCACTCACGGTAACAAGAGGGTTAATACAAGGTCTTGAAGACTGAATACGTAGACTTACAACAACACCAGATGACCAACGAACAGGAATAAACGTCTTAATCAAACTCCTACACGATAACAGTTACCCTAAAGAAGAGAAGTAAGAGGGTGAAACCAGAGGATGACTAGAAAGAGGATGGCAAAAAACGGCCACAGTACCATATGAAAATGGCAAATCAGAGGTAGTTCGAAGGAACCTCAAAAATATTGGAATTCGTACCACGTTTAAACCAACAAATCTAACTAGAAACAGAACGAATCAAATAAAAGATCTAAAGGTAATGATGGATTAAAAAAACGTAATTTACAAAATATCTTGTGCTGAGCATCCGACTAAATATGCCGGTCAAAAGTCTAGATCACTCGAAATACGAGTGAACGAGCATAAACTGTCAACATCCTGGAATATCATTTTAGATACACAATAATGAATGAATGAAAAAAAATAAACCATATATATGATTACGAATCATAAATGTGCGAATTAGACAATAATTCTAACTGTTAGTGTGATCATAGGCAGTTATTTGTCTCGAAATATTACCAAAATAATGAAAAAACACTTATCATTGTGTGTAAACTATGGAAACATAATTAATCAATTTTCATATATACCGACTGTGTTTTGAATAATAAAATAATGTCACTGTTGTCGCTATTGTTGTGGTTAAATCTGAATTTCTGGGTCAGCGTGTATTGATGAGGGAGGGGGGGGGTTATTTTCAAATAATCAGCTGACTACAGCATCGTATTATGGAGGTGCATTCAGTTTTAATTAAAGAAAATCAACCAAAAGTTAATAACAATACCTTATAACGCCTTCTTGTCTGGTGTGATTGTATACAAGCACGAAACCTTGATGAAGCAAAGCTCATTGTCGATTGCCTTCAGCCACCCAACAACGATGACAATTCAGAGTGCAATGTGATAGTGACCCACTTAACCTGGTGGTGGCCACATTGCAAGTTTGACTGTGATAATCACTTCAGTCTACTCCAAACGAAGAACTAGATGAGCATAAAATGATTGAATGCTCATTGTCCAGAACTGAAGCTCCCACTGAAAGAGAGAGCGTATTCCCACCGAAAATCGAAACCATGTGTACAGGATTATTGCATTTCAAACGCCAGTATTAAATACACTAGACCAGTGGAACAGTTAGATAGCCACCTATTGTGGTTATTATTCGATTTTCAATTCGATTTTGATTCCCCTGTTGACTGATTGAACTGGGGTGCCTGGCCTCTGTTAACACGTCTCAGTGGATGGAGGAGGGAAATACCTCCAATCACTCACTGGAGACTTCAGATGCACCCAGTTGACCGATGATTTCCAAGTGGGTACGAAAACTGCTCTTTCTGGATTCTACTGCTAGTCACTATTCACTGGATGATATCAGCGTTAATCCTCAAACATCACCGAAGCGTCCAGGTACTCGGATGCGTTGAAAGGTCAACAGAATCCGAATATTCATTATAATAAAGGTTTTCTTCTATTTCCCAATGAATGAAAAACAAAACGATATTGTTTTTACTGACGTTTCGCTATTTAGTGCTGATAGCTTTATCAAAGAAACCGAATATTTCTGATCAATTTTGATTGACCACAGAGGTCTAAGGTTATTGTCAGTTAGTGAAAAAAGAAATATTTTCTGACGAAGTCATCAACTAAGCTGTAACATCGTGTGTATGTATCGTAAATCGGTGAGAAAGTTCCTGAACTCTATTACCGACCTAGGGGCAAATCAACCAAATCGCATTGTAAAAAACAAGAAGATCGGACAAAACACAGTAGGATGATAATTACTGAGAGGATTTTGCAATTAAAAAACTCAGTTTCAGAAATAAACAGGAAGACCGAATAAACAAAAGGGCAATAGGATGATCACTACCGATGAGATAATTGACTGTTTATGATGGTCATGGTACAGACAAAGCTGCTTAGGCGTATTTATTCTGAATACATATAGCGTGGGCTTGAATTTTTAGATCAACACTGCCTCAGCTATGTCCAGATGTCTTGCTCTCACAATCCCTTTGAGAGAGACATTTGATCAGATCTTGTATATAAGACTTTGGAAGACTTCTCATCAAATAGGGCTGGACGTCCTCAACTCACTTGATGTTCTGATACGGAGCTATAGACACAACCGAGTTCTCCATTCACTATCCACCCAAATGGTTACCATGGTTCGGCCAATGTATGCAGTTCGCACAAGAGCACGTGAACTACTATATATGCATTTAGATTTGGTCCAATGTTAACGGTAGGTTGTCTTTCATGTGCTGGTTGAATACTTTCTTGTGTAGACTGGCAGCGAAATATTCTGTTTTTTAATGAAAGATTTTGAAAGTTGTTTTTCAAAAATTTCTGTTTCCTTATCACTTTTAAATTCGAGATTCAACAGAAGCATCAAGAGAGTTTAAAACGAATTAGTTAAATGGTGAATATTCGTTTGGAAGTAAAAGGCGAAAGATTTATCCGCAAATGAGGAGACACCAGAGTTAAGTTGTGCGTCGGTGGCACAGCGGTTAGGACGCTCGCCGACCATGCTCATGGTCCGGGGTTCGATTCCCGGCCGACGCACTCCTTTACCTCGCTAAACTCATAATGAGACTGCTAAAGAGGAAAAGTTGGGCATGAGGCTAGCAACCCCATCCTATAAAAATAAACACTGCTACAGAAACTTCAAGTCACTGGCTTGAAGCCCTATGTTCCACTGGGGAACGTGAAGGAAAAATTATTATTATTATTATTCGTTTGGAAGTGCTAAATGGTAAGAAGCAACAGAACAAAAGACTGAAAATAGGTTGCAAAGCAAGAAAATATATAATAAAAAATGGATTTTTTGTTTATACCCCTTCACGTTCCCAGTGCAACATACGGCTTCGAGCTAGAGGCTTGGATTTTCTGTCGCAGTGTTTATCTTTACAGAATGAAGTTGCTAGCCTCATGCCCAACCTCTCATTTTTACCAGCTTTTTTATTACTGGCTTAGGGAGGTAAATGAGTGTATTGGTTAGGGGTCGACCCCGGACCATGTGTATGGTCAACTAGCATCCTAACCACTGTACCACCGACGCAAAACATAAAAATATATAATAAAAATGGACTATATTAAGTTTATTAGACAGCTATTTCCAGAAAACAATTTAACACCATGGCCACGGTGTGGTCGCAAAATAAGAGGCTGCAAAAAAGGTTTATAAACATCATGAAGTTAGAGCATTTTTCATAAGAACTGCTAAAGCTTCGACTATATCAGAAAGATCTCTTCACGGACTACTTGATCATACTCTTGGCTGATGGTTTCTGCATGACCAGAAGTAATTATATGCTCCAGAATCGACTGAGTTGTTAAAGACTGTTCTACATTCTCCTATGAAGTTAGGTTTAATATATTTTAATGCTTTGCAGTCCATCTTCAATCCCTTATTCTCTTGTTTCCTACATAATTATTCATCGCCATGATCTAATTAGTTGTCAACCCTCTCAGTGTCTACCCCGACTATGTAAGACTATTCGCTATTTGTATTCACACATTCGTATTTCTAGTACACCTTGATTTATTTTTTATTACTAACCGACAGTAAAAATTCTTAGGACTCTGTTGGCATTTCATATCCTCCACATATTTATGTATTGTTATTATTATTGATATAATTCGCTTAGCCCCTGCATGGAACACAGAGCTTCGGCCTGGGTACACTTCCGTTTTAACCTGTTGTTTGTAACTATCTTTATCTTTCCCCTTGAATCCCTAAAGTCTCTCATCTCCTCCTCTCCGAACAATCTCTCCCATGCTATTCTTGGATATGCTTCTTACTCTTCATTTCCCATTTGGACTCCACTTAGGC